CATCTTTTCACCACCAGACTTCCTTGCCCAAATTTCTCTCCACTTTAATATTCTTCAATATTTATTGAAATGAACCCAAATTTAGGAGCCAACAGACAAAATTTGAGTCAATTATTATTTTTTGCCCTACAAATTTGGCTATTTTTGTACCAACCTTCTGAAAAACTATAAACAGAATATTTTGTGAATTTGTGATGAAAAGAAGAGAATTAGTGGTGAAAAAGTTAAAGACACAAATTCAAAAATAGAAATTCTTAATATTTGCATCAAATAAATGACAAAGAACAAGTAAAAAATAAACAAAAGCTTAAAAAGAATTCTTGTGTGCTTTTTGTATTTAAGACATGAAGTACAAATAAGGAATACTATATTTACTTTATATTTACACTTAGCACATGTGCTTCTATTAGAGCAAATACAGCATTAAAAAACCAAACTGCAAGCAATGAACCGGGTGGTGCTACAAGTTGCTATGGTTTAACAATTATAAATACTTAATGAAATAATGACATTATATGATGACTTGATATTTTGGTCATATATCTTGTCAGACAAAAAAATTATAGCACCAGTTGCGTGCCTCTATCTGTAACAGTTCTTAAGATAATACAGTATTGCCTATTATTGTGGTCACATGACCATATATAATCATCTGAAACATTAGTCATATCATATTGATTTCAACCAAAAACTAATCAGGTTTGCACATTAGGCCAAAAAACAAACAAACTTATGTTGCCTTCAAGTCAGTCGATCGGATTTTTTTTTTTTTAACTTAATTTAAAATAGTTGATCCAGCTTTTGCTGTCATGCACACAGCAAACGTGTTCGCCACCGCTGTACACATGTACGTATACACGATGAGAAACCCGGAAGTGAGAATACTGACAGCGCTAAAACAACGTGCAAAAGCCGTCGGTTTGTTCGTGATGTTAGCGGATGAAAGTTTTAATATAAAATGTCACGTTTTGTAAATTCAATAAAATTTTGTGCATTTCATGCATTAAAAATTATATTTACTACAACAAACGTATTGTTTTTGATTCAAAATAATGTTTTTATTTAATTAAGAAAATGCTTGGTGCAGCGATATTTTTAATATTGTGCACCAACTACCCGTGCCTGAAATGCAATCATAGTATTCGAAACATGTCAGAGAGATACAGTTCAAAGTCACCACTTATCCCCCGATATTTCATATTTTTCGGTCAGTCGCTGGGGGCAGCAAAACATTTTTTTTTGGCCTTATCCTCGAGTTTCTGTGTATCAAGAAATTCATTGAATGGTTCTTGAGGAAAAAAAATTAAATGCCTTCAAATTGGCTAATTAATATGTAAAATTGGTAATTAATATGCACTGGACTTCAACCCAAAACTGATCAGGTCTGTGCAATATCCCAGGGCATATATGTACTAAGTTTTATTGAAATCTGTTGAATAGTACATGAGAAACATGTGAAAATGCTTGTATTTGGCTAATTATATTATGCAAATTAGGTAATTATTATGCATGTATATAAACCCAAGACGTTAGATTACATTAGATTGTTGCAATATCTTAGAGTATTTATGTACCAAGATTCCTTGAAATAAGATGATTGATGGAAAAACTGAAAACTGACTAATTATTATGCAAACCAGGTAATTAATATGCACAGATTTCCTCAAAATCCAATGATTGGTTCTTTAGATACTAATGGAACAGTCATGTAACAGCTAAAAATTAGCTAATTATCATGCAAATTAGGTATGCATGGATTTCAACCAAAACCTAATTAAATCTGCATATTAGCTCAGAGTATCTATGCATTAAGTTATATGGTTCTGGAGATATCAGTGGAACAGATGGACACATACACACACATACATACAGACAAACTAAAGGCAAAGACTCCCATTGAGTGCTTCACACATGGGAGTCAAAAAAGAGGGTACCTAAATTGTTTCCATGTTTCCCCATAGCAGTAATCTCCAACTGGCATAAATTTTGAATAGAAAATTAGTCAAAATTCCATTTTTTGTTTGTTTTTTTTGTTTGACTTTCAAACAGCCTGCCAGAGGGTGTGATAAATTTCCAGAAATGAATGTGAAAAAAGTGTGTTAGCTGCATGAGAGATATTGACAATTGATCGCTCTGATAAGACATAAATCTTCATAAACTAATTATTGAGGAATGTAGAAATTAACCTCAGAGTTTAACTCCTCATCCTTCTCATCTTTTTCATCTTCCAACTTGTGAAACACTTCATAGGTTGTAAACGAGGCAATTAACTGCACACAGCTTCTTCGTCTCGTCTTCGGCCGATAGCAATGGAAGGCCTTCAGTAGCGATTTCAACAATAACTCTAGAAAATAAAAAAAAATGCAAAGTAAGACCAAACAAGCAGCCTGTCGGCTGAGATAGCTCCGCTGTTAGCAATGCACATTTCAATTAAAGAACAGAAGATATCATTAGAAAATGAACAATATGTATAGTATCAAAGCAACAGTACTTTCCGTTTTCAACAAGAATTCAAAAATATCACTTTTCACTAAAAATGACAAAAATAATCCTCAAAATTAGATAATTGAAGATGTCACCACAAAATTAACAAATCTGAAAGAGATCCACATGTAGTACCTATATATGTAATATAAAAGCAATTGAACTTGCGGTTTTTAACAAGAAGCCGAAAATATCACTTTTTACCAAAAATGACAAAAATATTCATCAAAATTAGAGAATTGAAGATATCATTACAAAATGAACAAATCTGAGAGAGGTCCACGTGTAGTACCTATATATGTAATATCAAAGCAATTGAACTTGCGGTTTTTAACAAGAAGTCGAAAATATCACTTTATACCAAAAATTACAAAAATTAGAGAATTGAAGTTATCATCATGATATGAACAAATCTAAGAGAGATCTACCCAAGCTACATATACACCAAGTATCAAAGCATTCAGGCTTGTAGTTTTCAAGAAGAAGTTGAAAATGTAAAACATTGACACGGACGATTACTCATATGATAAGCTCCGCTCAACAAAGTCAACAGCGGAGCTAAAAAATAGGTTGGTTCTTCTAAAACCTGCGTCTCATACCTTTCAACAAAAGACATTTAATGTTATATACCTTGCTTGACACCATATTTAATACAGCCTTCTGCCAACCGTAGCACAATACCGATATGGTTATATGCCAAGATGTCCTCCATTATGCTGTTACACTCTTCAAAAATTTCATCAAACTTTTGTACAAGAAATAAAAAAAAAAAAAAAAATTGCTCATCAATACACAGTGATACATCACTGGGCTTTTCTCCCTTACAATATTGAAATTAATTACAATAAAGTGAATTTTTCAACAAAATATTGTGAAGGTTTTGCAATGTAATCTTAACACTCAAATGATATGGAGTTGAAAAAAACAAAACAAAGCAGACAATATGAAAAGAACAAATCGCACATTATTGATTACATACTTCTTCTCGTGTTGGTGAAACTGCGATCAGTTTTTGTAAAACAAAATTGGCGATTGGATGAACTGCAAACTGCAATATCTTTCCTTTGAAATACTGACAGTAAAGACGATGAAAGGATTCCTCAGAGGAAATTTGGAGTAAAACCTCAACAAGATGGCTGCCAACCTCATGTAAAAAAATAGTAGGAAGACTGCAAATAAAAAGAAAACAGTTATATAGCCTCAACGATATTCAGAATCTTAGCGACAGTGCACTTTGACAGCAAAACTTAGCACAGAAATCATTATTGTCAAGCAAATTTAAAAAAAACAAAACAAAACATGCAGTAAAACGCAACACTCTCGATGTATGCGCAACCTTGCATCTGCGGTGATTTCAACAAAATGTAAACTTCAATTTTTTTGCTCACGACATAAACTTCATGCATGTATTTTCCGTGCCAAAAAACACCAAATGGTGCTGAAACATTATTCACAGATGATCTTATTGTGGTGGGCAATATTTCAGATAAATTATGGTAATAGATACTTACCTTTCTTCCAAATCATCCTCTGTGCCTTTACTTTTTTTAACAGCATCTGATTTTGATAGAAGAATTTCAGACAACTCACCACAGAGGGCGCTATTTACTTTATTTAGGACAAGTAACAGTGTCTGCAACACTGGGTTACTGACTGGATTTTGCAATAAATCTGTAAAGCAAAAGATCAAAAAACAAACAGTTTGAATTTTTAGAAAAATCACAAAATTTTGAAGCAGTGACCATTGCTAAAAGTTTTGTCAGTTTACAGCGAGGTGCAGTTAAAGAAATATTAATGGTTTTCCAAAATGCCTGCCTGGTTGAATCTGTTTCCATGGAAACAATACACCACTTTTATTTGGCATAATCTAAGACATGAACAAATAGAATGAGAATATAAAATAGCGGTAGTTATGATTGGCATTAGTATTATGCCATTATGCCATGATGTTTCACGATAATTCAAGTATGTCAGTCCTAAATAAAGGCACAAATATAATATTTAGACTTTGTGAGAAACTCTGAAACACATTGATATTATATATTATGTGTCATGGTAAACATAGATTATGTGTCCTCAACATGTTATGTACAACTCAGACTGTCACTTTAATATAAACATTAGAGTGTGATGGTTGTCATGCCATGCAAGCTTGTGATATGGGTCTCATATAAACAAAGATGGCGATTGTTGCGTAGACCAATGAGTACATACTGTTAGCAAGCTATAACTAGGCGATGGTTTTGGTGATTGGAAGGTATTGAAGGAGTCACGTCAACACTCATACTCACAATTTCCATAAGAAGAGCGCATTGAATTGAGGGAAAATCAATGTTTATCAACACAAATGTTGCACATGTGCATTTTACTAACATGGTTACAAGTAAGCCATCTCGAACCAGAATTTGCCATGAATCAAGGTCTCATGAAGTTTTAAGCATGTACCAAGTCTGAATAAAATCTGCACATGCACGACTGAGACTTGCTTCTGAAATGGTACAAATGTTTTTTCTTCATTCTTACCACTAACATTGCCAGGATTTAGCCAGCTATCCAAATGTATACAATATACAAGACAAGATGCATGAGTGAGCGGAGATGTCGAAGATAAGGTGCAGATGCACAGAAGTTTCAGACTTCAATCGAAACAGGGAATAATTATACTACCGGGGTATTAGCACATTTGCTCTATAAAAAGTACATCTCCAGTAAAAGTACACACATTGCATATATTTTATTCTATTTGACAACACCTCTGTCATGTGTACTAATAAAACAAATATGGTATGAATTTTCATGAAGGGAAACAAGGACATACCGTGAATATCTGTTCTTTCCATAACAAGGTTTGTTAATTTCTTTAAATTCTTTGAGAATTTCTTTGGAACGTTTCTTCTCTCTGTGATTGCTTCTTTTGTTTGTTTAGTACTTTCTATAGAAATAATCACATATTTATAATGTTAATAATTCATCTTTCCATCTTTTGTCAACAGTTATCAGAAGACGGACAATATAATTCACAGCAAGATAAACATTATGTTAATCGAACTAAACACTAAGAACTATTGCATGCGTGTCTTGCATACATACAACACTAAATCATGTTTCCAAAAAGGGTTCCTAATAACCAAACTTAATATGCACAGGGACTGTGAAATCCGACCACACAGATCCAAATTACAATTTATTATACCGTGTCATTGTTAAATCAAAGATTACATAATTCAGCAACACTACCATTCTTTGAAGAAATAAAGGTCCACTAATAAATGGACTGTCTTTCAGTGATAGAGGAGGGTGGTGGAACCAGGATTGACCATGCTTATTGTGAATATGGTATTTTGGCAAATTTGACATTAAAACCGAAATGTATTTTTTTTTTTCAAAATTTGCAGCACACTCACGTGAACAGCAAACGTAATTCTTCTTTTTCCTATCCTGAGTTAATAAAACATCGCATAAGTGTATGAGCTAAATTCTTACCTTTGTTTTGCTGTTGTCTTGATAACTTACTCCTAACCACAGACTCTGCTATGTGCACGCCACCGAGTACTTCCAAGAGACTTCGCAACACGTGACTGGCATAAGTATCCACCAAGACGTCACCGAGATGTTCCTTCATCACTCCGCAGACTTGCAACAAAAGTTCCTCCAAAGATGGAAGATCATCATCATCATCATCATCATCATCCTGCTCCTCCTTCTCCTTCTCACTATCAAGGAATTTAGGAACGAGCGTAATAACCGTCTGTAAAACATATGCTGCAAAACGATCAAAACACACCTTGTGGATATCTTCTGATAGACCAGCAAAAAATTTAGTGACTTCCTTCTGGCGAGCACTTCGCAGTAAACTTTCGATAAGTCTGCTGACAGTCTGGTTCTGTGATAGCTTTATTTCTTCTTTCTGGGTCTGCGCAAAAACATTCTGGATAAAGAGCTCTGCAGAGAATAATAATAGTTAAAAAATATAATGAGTGTAATTTAACAAATCATGCTAGTTGAATGAGTGTTCATGTTTAGCAAAAAAACACAAAAGGTATTGGGAGGGGGGGGGGGTCAAATGGCAGAAAGACTTTTCATTGGAGACCCCATCCCTTACTTTAACTTAAATCCTAACCCCCAACGATATGCTAATTATAGATACAGTAATTGAAAACACCCCTTAGCTAAACCTATTTCAATGACGTGGATTTGTGTCACCATGGCAATTGAATTTAGTGAATGGTGATATAATAAAATATCTAGGTCAATTATGGCCACGTAAAATAATCTGGCTGGCAACATGAAACATACTATATAGCACTTCTATCCACAATTTAACAATTTGCACATGAGTCTTCACAGTCTTGTGATATGTAACAATATATGTAATGATCGCTGCTTATTTTGCAAGTACGAGTGATAAACGATGCAGTTTGCAGTAGAATAATGTGATAGGAAGTTAATCTCATCCTGGTAATGAATCAGTGTTGGGCAGTACAAGGGACATTGAATCGGATGTTGCAAACGAAATGCAGCCTGCAGGAGACTCGAGTTTGCTTGCTGACGAATCCGAGCTAAGACAATCATGATGTGCCTACCTGGACGTAGACAATCTAAAGTGCTTGCGTCCAAGATTTTTCCGTGGATGAGAATGTTATATGATTACTGTAAACCAGTTATATTATATACGCTTGAATTGATTTATCATTTTTGTATGTGTATAACATAATAAATTCTGGCGACTAACAATTTTGTACTTGGCTACTATACTTTTTTTTATACCAAACTTGGTTGTCATCGGCCACCTGGGAAAAATTTGAGGGCTACCCAGAAATGCACATTTCAAACAAACATGTTTTCATTACTATCATGGTCATTTATTTGCCAGGGTCTCTCATAGGGTAGGGTCCACCATGGAACATCAATGTAGTTTCATGATCTTACAGTTACATCACAGGGAGGCCCAGGAACTATAATCAAAGGATGAGCGGGGCTAACCGAGTCGTAAACTTACTGCGGTTCCTAAAAAGTCTTGTAATTGGTTCTTGACACTGTGCCTAGCATTCCGTTAAAAATAGAATAGTTAATTTGGGTAGTTTTCTTGAAATATAGGTAAGGCTTTGGAAAAATTTGGAAGAGCAACTAATATTCTTCAAGCTGGTATTGTTAATAGACTTTATTTTTTATTTTTTTTGTCTGTCTTTTCGGAAAGAGTTTCTTTTGTACCCCCACCCCTAACGTAACACGAACCCTACCCCTACCCTCCAGCACTTACCATTTAATTGTACATGCCCCTCCTAAGGACATCTATAGTTATCTAGAGGGGGCATATACAAATGAATTGGGTTAGGGTTAGGAATGGGGGGTACAAAAAGAACTCTTTTTCCCCAGCCGATAAACCCCCTCCCCCCGCTCATAGAGACTGCATACAGTTTATTTTACCGGTAGTTCCTGGGCTTCCAATGGTTACATGTACAAAGTTTGTTGGCCTTGACACTATAGCCAGATGAGAAATTGACGGCAGTCTGTTTTAAATACACGGAGTTAGTCATGACATTGACGTCAGAATTTATAAATGACCAGTTTCACAGCTATGACTGGTATGATCCAGGGATATATTACACCCGGTTAATCTGGAGACACACGTGTTTGCAGTCACAGGCGGCGTAGTTTCAAATTCAACTCCGGAATCAACAACTACGCTACTTACCTTTCTCTTCTTCACTGCTAAATTCTTCTTTCAGAGTATCGGAAACCCTTCTGTAATAACCCATTGTCTCCTCATCCAATCTACCGGGAGCAGGCCGATCATTTTGTCTATTTTGACCTTTTCTAAACGGTGATTTCTGCGGCCGACCACGTTTGGTGGACGCTGCCATTTTGTGTATTGAAAACGAACGAAACACGCACTTGAACCACTTGGAGGCATAAACATAAGTTACAAAAAAAAAAACTTAAAACAGCGCCATCTATGGTTGTTTTATTCTTTTTTGAACGTTACACAGGGGTAATTTGACAAAATCCCTTATAACCTTACTATATTTATACACAAACATTTTCATGATAAATAAATGGTTACTAAAAATTTTGATTTATTAAAATAAATAAACTTGTCAGGAAGTATAAAGGGAAATCTGCTAAATTAAAGGGCGGTGGTTGCATACTGTTCGACAGGGGACGATAGTGACGTACACAACGTGTGTAAAATACATTGTTTACATGAAAGATTTGCTGCCACCCAATTAAGTTTGATATTACTAATATCTTGAATTGAATTTGCAAGATAGATTTTAATTTACATGATAATAACACACTATTAAGGCCATTGTCAGAATTATTTGACAATTATTTCATGTCTTGGAACTTAATCAGAAAAATATTAAAGTGTCCACTAAAGTTAACTGATCATGAAATCTTCCTATCTAATTCATCAAGATGTGTCTAGAAACCTTCTTAGGGGTGTTGTGTCTTTTCTTTAAATCAAATCTTATTATATTTGATGAGGCCTAGGGGTGTTTGAATTTGAAATGAAATTCCACCTGTTTGATTAAAAAAAAATAATTCACTGTGACCACGTCTAAATGCTTTGGAATGAACAATTCAATATTTTATCATTTATTGCACAATAGTTTCGAATCTGAGTGATTTTACACTCAAGTTTTGAGTTGCACATTACAACATAGTGGACACGCTTTTAATCAAGGCCTTCAAAATATTCACTACACACAGGAATTCTTTTTGAGCTACCTTTGATTAAATTTATCACACCATTCAAAACATGATGGGGAGGTGAGCAGAGTTGAAAAAACAAGAAAAAAACAATGACCTTAGTAGATTTGCACACAGTCAGCTTGTATAAAATTAACTGTATTGGAGCAAATAGAGAGGAAAGTGTACTCTACCGTACACCCAAAAAGAACTAATCCATTCCAGGCTCCTCACCTGAATTTCAAATGTTTCAGGAGTTAATGTTTGTCTTCCTAACTAGACTTGATTCAAGCAAAATAAAATAAACATTAACAGTACAAAGACTTATCAAGAAAACTCAGATTTATTAAGGATATGTTATTTAATAAAATACATTATAATGTGTGTTCTATTTCAATATGGCAGTTGAAACAAGTATATTATTTCCGTCATTATTTCTGATTAGAAAATAGGTGATCATACTTGTTAGTTATCCTGAAAAAAAATAAAACAATTTTAAAAAGTGAAATAAAATTATATAACGAGATGAAGCACTCCAAAATTGTTGTGTTTAGAGCAACGCAATGAAAACTTAAAA